CAATTGCAAACTGTATCTTGGACTGTACTGCAATTGCAAACTGTATCTTGGACTGTACTGCAATTGCAAACTGTATCTTGGACTGTACTGCAATTATAACTCAAATTTTGTGACTCCGGCGTAGTTTCCCCAAATCTTAAATTTTAAAGAATACGAATATTCTGAATTGACTTGAGCCGGTCAGTTAAATGACAAAATCTAAAGGCCGTCGCCCTTCAAAAAGAGAATAAGAATTGGAAAAAGAAAAAAGAGAAGTACAATCCACCATGGACGCACAGAGAGAAGTCAAAGTTGGAATCTCATTCCAAAACACAGAGCACTCTCGAAAAGAGCAAAATTTTAAGGTCAAACCGGTTTTGACCGTGAAAAAAAAAAAAAAAAATCGAACTCAAAATGACATTGCCGGTAGATGTTTTTTTTTTGACCATCAGAAACTTGTTTGTTTTTTTTTTGCCCATCAGAAACTCGGTCCTGAGTGAAACGTCCTAAGGCTTGCCCTCAGAACAAAACTTATGCAGAAGTAAAACAAGGTCACAGTGGTAAAAAAAAAAAAAAAAAAAAAAAAAAAGCAAAAAAAAAAAAAAAGAAGACAGAAGTGAAACAAGGGCAAAAAAAAAAGAGGAAAAAAGAAAAAAGAAAAGCTAGGCTATCAGCGGCGCGGCCCGGCCGTGCAAGGATCATTAAAGGTCCCAGCTAAAAAAAAAGGAAAAAAAGAATTCTGGGAAAAAAATATGCTATGCAGAAAAATAAATTGAACAACTTTTTTTTTATTATTATTAAAGGAAAGTTCTTTTTTATTTAAATTTTAAAGCCGGGCCCAAACAGTCGTGGCATGAGCTTTGCCTACCCGTCTTCCCCCGAACATAACGCACCCTAAAAATGAATGTATGCAAGGTATTACAAGCTATATTTCCGGCCAGATACAGCCCAAATAAGGGTGCGTTGTGTTCGGGGGAAGACGGTAGCCAGAGAGCCTCGCTCAGCTCAGAGCTCCGATGTATCCCAATTAGCATGTCAGATGAACTTAAATTATTATCAAATCTATCTCTCTGTCCTTCTTTTTATAGAAAAAAAGAAAAAGTAAAATTACTATAAAATCTATCTCTCCTTCTTTTTATAGAAGAAAAGAAAAAGTAAAATTATTATCAATCTATCTCTCCTTTTTATAGAAAAAAAGAAAGTAAAATTATTATCAAATCTGTCTCTTCTTCTTTTTATAAAAAAAAAAGAAAAAGTATGTCATTGGAGATATAACTTATTTGAAATTCAAAGAATTGCGTACCTGCATATGACTATAAAATAATTATAAATCTTGTAACCGCTCATACCGCAAGTGATAAAGTTCAGACTTTATTTTTACAATTTAATATTTCATAAAGTAAGTGGGCTCGATTTTTGTAATGGACGCCGGGCCCACTTCCCGGCTTTGATATTAATAAAATAAACTTGAAGACTGATCTTCTTCCAAAAGAAAATTAAAATTTTGACCAAACTTAAAACCAAAAATAAAAGTCCTTCTGGGCTTCCGTTAAAATTGGAAAAAAAAAATAAAAAATAAAAAATTGGAACGATACAGAGAAGGTTTAGGATGGAGTTGCGCCAGCTGTCAAATAGTGTACATATTATCAGAAAGCCGTCTGACATGAGCTAAGCCTTCTGGATCACAAACAAACAGTGTCATCAAACCCCCCTCACCTTGTCAATCGAATCTCCTTATCAGATATTCTGATATAGGGGACCTGGTTACACCACAGTGACTCTCGAAATATGAAAAAGACAAACTTAATGTGGTGTGTGAATCTGGCTATTCTTCTAGCGGGAAGTTCATTCTCATTTTGTGCATTTCGAGAGTGGTGGGCCGATGCCCATAGACAGAATACAGTCGATTTGCCAAAATCACGTTCGCTATGGAGCCGACAGCACCCCACCAAGCTCACACTCTAATCTTTTTTTTTTTTTTTTTTTTTAATTAACAGTCCTCTCAAGAGTCTCAACTAAACAGAGTACCTCGGGACGGGCCGACTCTCAAAACGTCAATTTGAAAGTAAAGAGAACTGAAAGACAGCTTTAGAACGTAAGAAATTGTTTACCAGACTGAGTTCAACTGGCACATGGCTAACCACAGTCGAGCGCCAACAGGGGTCAGATACTATCATACTAGTATTAATCAATCAACGACAATCGTTTAATTAATCCAATCAACAGATCGATTGATCGAGTGATCGAGTGATCGATTGATCGATTGATCGAGTGATCGAGTGATCGATTGATCGAGTGATCGAGTGATCGAGTGATCGATTGATCGATTGATCAATCGATTGGCGAAGAGACAAGCAGAGAATGGAAATGATTGGCGAAAAGAGGGAATCAGAGAATGGAGTTGGAGTTGATTGGCAAAAGGATGAGAGAAGGGATCCGAATTGATTGATTGGCAAATGGAGGCAATGAGAGGAGGGAATTGATTGATTGGCAAAAGGAGGCAATCAGAGAATCATGGAATTGATTGGCGAACAGAGAATCAGAAAGAATGGATAAGAGTTATCGAGGAGAACGAGGGGATTTGATCGCAGCTCACGACAACGCCACGTCGCCACCCCTCTTTCGATGATGGGATACCGACAGATGATGGCCACGGGAAGGAAAGGCCGTCCGATTACCTCAACGCCTCAACGCCTCAACGGTACTAAGATGCTGTGGTGGAAACATGACACCCGGTCGTTCTTCTGTTGTCGATCAACTCGTAACTCTGCCTGCCAGAGGAATGACATTCGTCAAAATCTCTCTCTCTCTCTCTCTCTCTCTCTCTCTCTCTCTCTCTCTCTCTCTCTCTCTCTCTCTCTCTCTCTCTCTCTC